TGTAGGGATATTGCCCCCCAATAATCCAGATTCCAATGGACAAGAACAGGGACAATGAATTGGAAACTGGGGTACTGCGTTGTAGTCCCAACTCCCAACACTGGGAACATCTGTACTATAGTCTAAACTCCNNTAGGGGAATATATAGGGGACTACTTCAGGGGTCCTTAAGGGGGATACTAGGAGTTTAGACTATAGCTCATCTTATGCGGTTCCTGGATCGTTGGCTTGTCATCCTAAACCCCTGAACCTTGAACTTCCTGTCAGGTATTCAGCCCTTCCTGGGTATGTGTGGCACAATGATTACTGACGCATTTTCTGTTGATGCGCAGCCTGCGGAGAGGGCTCGACTGGCTGCTTCGACGGTACCTTCGCCTTCTAACTGTTGGGGTTTAGGGTATAGGGTTTCCGGCGCTGTGAATAAGACCCTAAACCCAGATAGAACTGCAATAGTCTTGTACTGCTCCCTGTATGCATGATGTTCAGCAGTATGCTCATGTCCACTCAGCACTCCCGCCATCTGAACTCTTATAGTAGCCCCTACATAATCCACAATAATATAGTAGTTTCCGTGCATAGTTTCCGTACATACCTTCAGGTAGTCCCTATAAAGCTATAGCTTTTCTTGATTTTGAAATCGATTCTCCATAATTGCACTTTCCATTTTCTTTACCACCCCCTTTCCCCTAAACCGGCCCTACACCCCAGACATCCCTTAGCCCAAAATGGTTGCTTGTCTTTTCTTTTCCATGCCGCCCTAGACCCTAAATAGTAGTTTTCATTGTGTTTTCCATTCCTTCATTGTGAACTGAGAGGCCTTTGGCAACATCATCGGGAACTATGCGTCTGGCTGGTGGAACTCGCGAGCCGGCCCAAGGTCAACCTACTGAGAGTTAGGGTTAATTAGGGCTACTACACAGGGTAGCTAGGGCTTCTACAAGAAAAAGTTTGGGTGTAGTATAGGAAGGGTAGTAAGGGAACCATGGGAACCCATGACAAGGTCAACTTATCTCTACACGGCAGCTGCGCCATTGTTTTCCCTTCTCTTCGCTGCAGCTTTCTTGCCTGAAACGAATCCAGAGATCAAAGACGGTTGGCCTTCCAAGCAGAATGGACAAAGCTCTGAAGGAGCTGTTGCCAAATCTGGAAAGAAGAGTGCTTACGCCACTTTACTGCTGGATCCGGAGTGTTTCCTAATCGGTGGCGCGCTCGGACTGTACGAGTTCTTGAACTACGCTCCCATGAACTCCGTTGCCATTCTCTTCATGAAGGACTGGGTTGCTCTTCAGGGCTCTCAATTAGAGTCCCATATTACGGGCATATAGCAAAGAATAGCATTACGAGGTTTTCCTTCTTGCAGTAACCCCAAACCCTAAACTTTATATACCCTCATTGGGTGTCCTCGTCAAACTGTTGATACGAAAAACCCCGCATGACCTTAATATACTATAGTACCATAATTCCCAGGGTTTAAGTTACCTAGGGTCATGCAGATTTCTTGTATCCACCTAAATCCTCAACCCTAAACCCATTCCTTCATTGCAACTTAGAGGAGCGTCATAACTGGGGGCCGCTGGAAGCAGGGCGATTTGCTTCTGGCCATGCCCTGGCGGGTTTTTGTGGAAACATGCTGGCGGGCAGACTTCTTCAGTTCTTGGGAAAGCGACTGTACGTCACAGTTACAAACCTCCTGACGCTGGGTTCTTCCCGGAACAGTATTTTTTTTAAGGAATTATTGTGAATACAACCGCTATATGTCTCCTGGAAAGCAATACACAATAATTCTTATAGGGAACTAAACCTGCCAGGCCTACTATATGACGGCAGTTTCCATTTCACTTTCCATTTTCTTTTCTATTGGGTTCTCCATTATTAGGGGCAATATCCCTAAACCCTAATCCCTAAACCCTTTACTTGCTTATATAATCCTATACAATCTCTATATAATCCTATATAATCCTCTTTAATCCCTATATTATCCTATATAATCCTATATAATCCCTATATAAGCCTATCTAATCCCTATTTAATCCTATCTAATCCTAGGACAAGTGTTGCCTACATCACCTGGGCCGTCTCGAAAACTGGTCCGGGCCTTGTTTCGTGCCTTCTGCCATTGACTTTTGGCGGGACAGGCTGGGTTTAGGGTTTAGGGTTCAGGGTTTAGGGTTTAGGGTTTAGGATTTAGGGTTTAGGATTTAGGGTTTAGGGGCTGGGCGAAAGCTTCTTTTGTAGGGATAATATACAGAGGAATGAACAACTACTATGTATACTGCTGTGTTTTCGAGGTTGCATGGAGATATAGGTGGGAATGGAAAAGACATGGAAACTACTATTCTTGGTTTGGAGTTTAGGTTTTAGGGAATGGAAAAGGAAACGGAGGCTACGATAATGGAGAATCAAATGCAAAACCAAATCGACTTGAAAAGGAAACTAGGGTTTTAGAGAGATTATATAGGGGTCTATGTAATAGGAGTACAAAGGGGAATGGAAGGAAAAAGAACATGGAAACGACTATATTGTTGGGGATCCTGTAAGGATTATTATAGGAGTTCAGATGGCTTAGCTATGGCGAACGTAGAAGTTGCTAAGACTGCACAGAGCTTGTGCGCCTCATGTGAGCCATAGTCTAAACTCTTAGTATCCTCCTTACTAACCTCTGTAGTAGTCCCCTATGTAACACCTAAACCCTAAACCCTAAACCCTAGACTATAGCTCATGTCAAGATGCCTTTGAGGTGGAGCAACTGTGCTGGTGACCCGCTTCATGCAAAGAGCTGTGCAGCTGGGGTTGTCACCAGGTGAAGTAGCTCTGCTGCACATGATTTCTATTATTATCAGTCTTATTCTTATTACTACTGTTAGTATTGCTATTATTACCGTTATTATTGATATTATTGCCATTCCTAACTATTTCAATTGCTACTACTATTAAGTCGTAGATCTGCCATTGCAGGGTGTCTTGTTCCAGCCCGTGGCATCATCGTAGCAGCCTGTGTGAGGCCATGGGCGTCCGATCCGCCATCGGGGCGGTGGCGCGGATGGCTGCGCCGCAGCTTTTGGGTTGCCGTTAAGGAACTCAAATTAAGTTGCTGTATTGCGGAAACCATATTAATTACTATAGATACCCATTATGGTAACTGCTGAAATGCATCCTTCTTGAGCAGG